TGAAACTCTGCTCCACAGATAACATTTTCAAGCTTTTTGCATTCCGCTGTTCTCAATTAACGCGCTGTCTGGATGACTGTAAACCCACAGGGTGGAGGCCCTGTGAAAATTGGAAATTCCCTCAGCCTGCGGTCTGAGAGGACATTTCGACGGAAAAGATACTCACTGTGACTGCAAGGCAAAGCAGGCTTCAGCAATAATCACACAAATCATAAAGAAAGCATGTTTAAAATGCTCTTTAAAAGGACAATGTTATGTACCAGATGAAACGAACAATCGAAAATAAAAGGAAGTACACTGAGTTTAGTCTGATTATGCATTTATTTAATCAGTGTAACCTTAAGTAGGGCATTATTTGAAAGCGCGAATCGCTTCAAACCCAACTGGAATTGACGCTTCTGATTTGGTCACAAACAACATGTCAGAAAACATCAAATTGTTTTCTGACATTAAAAACAATTTAATGTCAGATTTTTTTTCCGAATCTATCCCAGTCATTACAATTTCAGAACAAATATAGAAAAAACAAATTTAATTGAATTAAGTTTAACTTGATTTAGTACAGCTTAGTTCAATGATTTCATAATTTCCGAACGAAACTATTCTCAAGGTGAAGCACAAAACAAGGCCAATTTACATCCAGTTGGACAGAAATTATTCTCTGTCCAAACACATTCAGATTAGTCTAATTTATTCCAATACAATGAAAAAGTTAGATTTAGATTAAATTACAAAAGATTATATGACTGAAGCCACAATTTTGAGTTCATTATTATTTATTTGACTTACCGTACTGATGACGTCAGTTGTTTTTGTTTTTCTCTCGGTCCCTCCAGCCCCCCCTCCAGTCCGCTCTCACTTTTCGTCATCATGCTTACCCTCAAACATTGATCATATCGCAGATCAACAGAGCCCAATGTTCCTCTTTCTCGCAGCCAGCAGCTCCTTTTCTTTCCTCCTTCCAGCTTCACTTTCCCAGCCGAGGCGCACTGTACCCGCTCGGTTTGAAGGCTGCGTCTTCCAGTGCGCACGACCACAAGCCGTGGTCTATAAAGCAGAAACAATCAGCTTGGAGGTTTTATTGTGGCTTTAAATGAGCCTCAGAAAGTAGCTGAAATAGTTTGCCCTTTAAAGTCAAGAGGCATTGTCACGCAGGACCTAGTTTAATAGAGATAATTAACAAACGTTAATTTGCCAATAAAAATAGTGTCATGCAGCTCTAGAGCTACAAGAAAAAACTACAAGCTAAGTTCAGGAGGCAAGTAAATAATGACAGAAGCTCCAGTGGGATTTTTTCAGTTAACTTGTCTTTTCTGGCAAAATGAATTAGGACTGGTGAGTTAGTGTAATAGTGATTTAAGTGCATACCCACCAAACACAGAGCTGATTTAAGAGGTAAATGCTTGGCCGCAATATATTAATACATTCTGCAATGCGCGTGCTGCGTGACCCAAACGTTGCGTTTGAATCATCGTAAAATTAATTAATTAAATAAATAAATAAAAATTGCATTCAGTTGACCCCTCATAGTTTGAATGCAGTTTGCACAGAACACTATCGGCTGGAATGCAATTTATTTTTATTCAGTAAAAATTATAGTGGAGAATTTACAG